GGTTGAGGGGTTGCTCGCTCTCAAAATGCGGTGCCTCTGTGCAGTGCTCAGACCCCTCAGCAGTGAGAGCTCGTGCTCCATCTATTACAAACAGAGACCTACTTCGGAAGTGTAAGTTGCGATTTTAAACCTATGCATTTTAGTGCCTGAATGTGCTTTGCTCAGGTTTAAATGGCTGCTTTTCTTTTCCCCTTTGTCTTCTATTATTGTAGACACATTTGAACTTGTTTTCTTCCCTCCTCCAAGTCTGATTTGCAACTTTTGAGGCAGCTGTACTGGGAAAGATTTGAATATGATAATAGGGCTTAAAGACACTTTTCATGGTGACCTTTAAAATATCTCAAGCTGTTGAGCTAACTCTAGTCTGAAGTGGGGAGAACTCTTCAGGTCAAAATTTCAGGTTAAATGAAGCACAACAGTCTTTTGTATACTTGTTCACATTTCGTTCTGTAAAATGATGCAAGTGGTGAATTCAGATCTCGTTTGCTTCTTTCTGAAAAGCTACTTATGTAGGCAGTTGTGACTTAAGTTGATGATTTCACTGTTCAAAAGCTTTTTCTGTTTAGCTAAAATGATACCTTTTTAAAAAAATTGCTTAGCCGTGGGCCAGAGTTTTATTTAGCCTATACTGCCTAGGGGAGTGTGGTACTGCAGGCATCGATTGAAACTGTAACATGAAAGAGCCATTGTCTTTGGCAAAGCAGCTGCACTCTTACGCTAAGGACACTGACTTTTAAGCGGCTATTAATTAGAAAAACAGTTGTAAACTGTTGTCATATTCAAGCAGGATTTTAACCCCCCCATATTTTATTAAAAGTAAATCTTACCATTGTGCTCTGTATTGTATTTGCACTTTGTAGATAAATGAAGGGTGTTCGTTCTAAGCTTTGAGCTAAATCACCGTCCATTTTACCAGATACTTTATGTCCATGAAGCTGCAGAGGTAGCTAGTTGGTTTAGCATGGTTAGACTGCTCACAGGCTCTGCATAATGGAACTTCTCAGATGAAATATTGGGGTCTCATTGTGTTAAGAGGGTGTGTGTGTGTGTTCATACTAGAACTTGAGCAAGCTGGCATGTCAAAACTTGTCAGAGAGAAGCACGGAAGTGTATGAAAGAAAACATTGTCTTCCTGGGAACGTTAGGAGGAAAACTACGTCATTCACTTTTAATTACACCTTATTAACACTGCTCTGTGTAAAAGTATTCCTGATGATGCCATTGCCAAGTGTGTTTTCAGGACTTTGTGTACATTTCAAGTGAACTGAGGTTTAAACTTGCTTGGAAGGTTCCTGTGCTGTGATTTAAGTAAAAAGGAGGTGATAAAGAACCATGGATCTTGTGTTTAAGAGCAGCGAATGGCCTGGAAACAGCCGCAATATTGCGTAACCACAGTGTTTAGTCAAAGGCATTGCGGAGTAGTGGAAAAAAAGATAATATCAGGTTTTTATTTCAGGTTTCCAAGCAGTCAGTTTTAATTCTGGCTACAGTGAGGTTTTTTTCCTGTTTTCTCACACGTCTGTTTCATAATGCTGAAGTTGAGAAGTGGAACAGCGATAATGAAAATTAGAAATATGAATGTAGATGAAATGGTAATCAATGTTCCTCTTACTGTAGAGGTGTTTAAAAAAAAAGGAGGGGAGGGCAGAAGCTCAAGCGTGTTAATGGATAGCTCACCAAATGCCATTTATATTATGCATTTGTATGCACTCAGCAGCATAAGTAATTGGGGAGCAGAGGGGGACTGCCTCGTCACAATCCAAAGGCAAATATTAGTGCTGTTCAGTACAATGTTAACGTGACCAACGTGTGATGTTTGTGATGGGCATCTCCTGTAGAATATGCTGCTACATTGGGGAAGAAAGAGAAACTGCATAGATACGCCATGTGGGTTGTGCTGCCTGAAATTGGGAAGAGTAGCAGGTAATGTGAAAGGGAGTAGTTGATGAAGTTAGACAGCAGGGGCTGGGTGTCTGGCTGAAGCAAACAAAATGCAAGGGATGAGTTTAAATGGTTCTTCCTGTTGGTTCTTGCAGCAGATGTCTTTCATTTAAAATAAAATAGGTGAAGATGCTTATCAAGTACTATGTGTGATCTAACTCTGTGATGGTGACATGGATGGGGGTGCTTACAGGGCAAATTAATGGATAAAACAAAAAAATGCAGTGGCCACACGTGATCAGTGTCATACGCACAGCGAGTTGGAATTTAAACCCCCTGAATACCTTCAGACAGAGACTTTCACAGGTGAACTTTGTTAAAGCTTTCTGTGGAAACTGGGCACTGTACCTTCATTTGTCCACATCATCAACTTGCTGGAAACGGCTTCCTCCCTTTTAGCGAGGTCAGGAGGAGAGGACGTGTCACCACACCATAGCCATGCAGTTTAACATTTCACTGAATTCACCTGAATCCTTGATGATCAAGTGTCTGTAAACACCAAAATATGAGTCAGAATCCTTAGTCTTGCTTAGTGTGCCACCAGAACAGCTGTCAAATTCTGAAGCTGGTGTGATTCTCTGCTGACTAAGGGCTGTGACTAAGGAAGCGCAAGGCAAAGTAAGTCCTCAGGCTCTAAGTATACACGGTTGGCCTGCTTTACTTCTTGAGTCTAAATTTAAGCTACAAAAGTACTCAGGTTTATCTGTGTTGCATTATTATAATTTTTCATGCAAGGTACCATGGGAGGTTTCTGAGTGGATTTTAATTTTGGCTAAAACCTGATTGAGTCACAAACTGATTTTTGGAGGCCTGGAGTTGCTGATACGTGTCTCTTGAGAAGGGATATAGCAAGATCTGCCTGGTGGAGCTGTGGACATTCTCAAGTATACTTAGCTCTTCACATCTTCAAAATGCAAAGCAGGTGTTGGGAAGTCCCCTCAACTACTTTCTTGACTCTGTAGTTGAGTACAGCAGAAGCTGTGCAAATGCCCGCACTAAGGAGTGTCTGGGCATGGTTAGAATGGGGGTGGAGTTCTCTGAAGGAGGTGGCATAAGGTTAGGTCGGACCTGACAGCTTGGAAACAGTGCTGGATGTACTGAAGCAAAGTAGTGTAAGCAAATACCAATTACCTAATCTGAAGACAAGTAAACATTGAAGTAAATTGTGTGGAAAGTACCTTCTCTTCTGTGAACTTGAGGATGCTTTAGTAGCTGGGAGAAGAGAGATGTACGTGGGATGATGGGTAAAAGACTTGCATTGGGATGGGAGCGTCACAGTTCGTGTTTTTCTCTCTTCATCTATTTGGACAAATGACATTAATAATTGTGTCACTTGTTCTGAAATGGGAAGGAGCGTGTGTGTGTGTCTTGAGACAGGTAGGGAGATCTGTTTTGTCTTAATCTGTGTACTGCTTTTGTATAACATGAGTCACTGATAATTGAGCATGTATGTTATGACAGTGTCCTATCACTGTTTTTCTTCTAGGGAAATTGAGCAGGTCGAGATTTGCTTTTGCTTCTGCATGGAAGCACTAAGCCCTAGGTTTGGAGATCCTTGTCCTTTCCTTTTTGTCAGTGTGGCCATAATGTACATGTGTTCCCACTTTATCGCTGTTTCGTGTTTGATGCTGATGTTACGCTTCCTGAAAGTATTGAATCTGGTAGCCATCAAAGGTTTCCTTTCAAAAACAAGACAATGCCAATAACCAGACAGGGGAAGAGTTTTTTTCAGTAGTAACTGTGACTTACAGGAGCATAATGCTATTAATCAGTGCAAAGTAAGGACTTTAACAATATCTTAGAGTAGAATTTACATGACTGTCACGAGACATGGAATACTTGCTGTAACAAGGACTCGAAAAACATGAGCAATCCCTTCTGCAGACATCTAGAATGACACAGCTTGAATGCAAGGTGATGTTATCTTTTTAATAAATGCTTTCTGAATTTCCTTTATTTAGATTTACGTCTTTGGAATCCCACATTCCCCTGTAACTTGTATTTTCTGAAGCCTGGAAATCAGCTCAGGTGCTGCTGTACCTTCCTTTCCCCAAGGAGAGAGCTCATTTTCCCCCTCTCCCCGCCCCCACCCGGTGATATAAGCTCTTGAAAAGCTTGTCCTCCACCATAGTCCTCTGAAACTTCGGCTTTATAAGAAAGGAGAGGATGTAGCTATTTTCCATGCTAGTAAGGAGAGCTGAAATTCTCAGGATGCGCTGCCTTTTTGATTGAGTCGATATAAGAAGTTGAGGGGCTGGGCCAGTTCTTGGAAATAATACAGATATGACAAGACATCTGGATAGGGAAAGTAGGAGGACATGATGCTTGGAGAGCGTGGATTTCTTGCAGCTGCTTTGCTGCCAAAGCAAGTGTGTTGTGTAAATACATCCTCAGTGAAACCCTAACTCCTTTGAGAATAGATTGTATGATAATTATTTCTGTGGTGGTCTTCTATTTGCATGGGCTCTTGACTGGCTGGTCATTTTGCAATAATATGTTGGATGTGTGAAATGGGGTCATTAAATGTGTAGATGTAGGAGGAAAAAAGATTCTGAAACATTACTATATCTTTCCTTTAGTGCCCAACACCTTAAAAAAAAAATTGATGCTTGATTAAACATGAAGCCATTGACTCTTTGTGCTTGCATTTTACCTGTGTAAACCATCTCTTAAGGTCACATGCCATTTTACTAAAATAAACAACTGAGTAATAAAACACAGTGCAAATGGCTTTATTCTGTGGTATTCTGTTGCTCAGACAGAGTAGAATATAGGAGCTGTCTTTGAGCATCACTTGCCCAGCATGGTGAGTTTGATCCTATGTCTGTTGTTCCCTAGCTTGACCCCAAATCTCCAGTGTCTTGTTCCTCCGTTTTATTTAATGCAGAAACTGATCGCAGCACTTCTTAAGTTGTACTTGAATTCCTTTTTGATTTATTTGGCCTCTTGTTTTATGGGCAGAAATCATTGTGGATGAAAGACTGAAGTGAATACCCCAATGTAATTTTAATCATATTGGTAATTTGATGTTAATTTCCTTAACTATCTTGTGTACACAGTGAGGAGCTAGGAGAATTCATGGAGATGAAAGGTGCCAACAGCCCTGGGATCCTTGTGCTGACCACAGGCCTCAGCAAACCTTTTATGCGTCTGGATAAATACCCCACGTTACTCAAAGAACTTGAAAGACACATGGAGGTATATCTTATCAGCATTTATGTTCCAGCTTAATGATGATTTGACAACAATTATTTTAAAGGTACATGTCAAACTTGATGGGACCCAAAATTACCTTTATTTGCTCTTCCGTCAGCCTTCTAAAACACAGGCTGCAATGGTTTAAAACTTAGTGCGGTGAAACTTCCTGTGAAAGCTAAACCTTGAAAGTCAAAGTAGCCAGGGAAGCCAGTTCTTGCTCCTGGAACAGTCTTGCAGGGTCTTGGGTTGACTTGACAGTGAATGTGTCTCCTGCGTACAACTTGAAGCTACTTTATCCTGTGGAAGGAGTGCTGCTTCTCATCTTAGGACCTCAGTGTACCCAACCCGTCATCAAAATTGTCCCTCTGACTTCTGCAGAACACTGTCCAAAAATGATCTTCCCAATACGGGAAGGCGTTTGAGGAGCTGCTGTTTCCACCTTTGCCTTTTGTAGGTTAGATTTTTGGAGTGTGAGGTGGGGAGACAAATGCAAAGCACACGGGGCTTTGTCACATCATACGATTTGATTTGTCAGTCAATGATAATAGAACGCACTAGTCTCCGAGGAATGGAGTTTGTGGCAAAGCCAAATTAAAGTCTAAAATCAACACGTTCTATTAGGATTTCAAAATCTCTTGTCCATTAGGTCTTGTAGAGCTTCCTTAGCTTAATTTTAAGTAGGAGTGTTGTGACTCTCAATTTTTACTATAAGAAAGGCCACCAGTGTTTGATATAAGATGGCTGTGAAAGAGAGGAGATTGGTCTGCAACTTCCGTTTTAAAGAATTGTGTGGTTTTAGTTAAGCCTCTAAATTTTTTTTTAGTAATTTTACTAGAACTAAAGGTTTTATGTATGTTTTCTCCATTGTTTTTAGGATTATCATCCAGATCGTCCAGATATTGAAAAATCCATGACTGCCTTCAAAAATCTTTCTGTAAGAGTGCTAATAAATAGATTATATATTTTAAGTAGAATGTTTTCTGATTTCATGGCTTTTTTTTTTTGTAAATGTGAAGCTTTTCTTTTTTTTGGGTAGAGGTGAAGCTTTTTTGTAAATCTTTATATAAGAAATTTTTGAAAGCCTGGAAATTGATGGTATTTGTGGGCAGAAATGAGAATGATTCTTTGCTGGAGAGTTACAGCAAAGAGGTTATTGATGTAAGAGCCGTCCAAAGCATTCTGCACCTCTTGATCTACCCTCTCTTGCTTTGTCTCCCTTTCTGCTGGTGCTAGCGTAGCAAGTCCTGCAGAAGGGCTTCTTTACAACAATTGAGTGTATTTTCTCAGTTTTCTTTTAAGTGCTTTGCTTCTGCGGAGTGGTGTTGGAGTTGGGGTAGAGAGGATGAAGTGGAAAGTGCTAGTGGATTTCAAAAGACACAAAACTTCTAGGGAATATTGGACTAGGAAGCCCAATGTGTACAGATGAGCTGTCTGTTACAGACAAAAAAACTCGACAAAACAACCCACACCTGAACTGCAACAAGAATATTCTTTATGCAGTCTCAGTTACAATAAACTTAACGTTTTATGCCTCCTGTTAGGAGTGTGTACTGGTGGTAACTGGTAATTTTCTATTTTTTATTTTTTTAAGCAGGAATTTAGTGTTATTTGTGTTCAGAAGAGGTCTGGGGATCCAGTTCTGTTAGGCACTTCACAAAGAAGGGGGAAATTCTTGCTGAGAAAAATTCGAATGAACGGGGGTGCAGCTAGTAAACTAGGTTGGAGGCATTTAATAAAAATAGGAACACAAGGTTATATGCACAGTTTGCACAATTGTCATGACTGATTTTACTGAAGAAAGATGCTTTGTTGCATAGTCATGTCCATCTGTGGCAACTACTTCACTCTTTTTGTGCTGAGCCTAAGCTATTTTTGCTTGCAAGGACAAAAAAAAATGAAAATGCAAAGAAAGGAGAAGTTAGAGGAACAGAGCTATGACTGTGGATTTGGAACAGTAATATAAGTGGATATGTTGAAAGGAAAAGTAATAATATTTGCGTTAGCAAAACTAGTTTTCTAAGAAATTGTGGTAACGGTCATCTAAATGAAAGAGCTTCAGGTTAGGTGCTGTCTTCTGCGTGCTACAAGCACGCCAATAAATATGACTGTAGTGGTATTTTTACCCTTAAAACTACTCTGAATTGGTAAGAGTTGATAGAGATGGTTATTTTCCCCTGTGTTTGTTAGGCACAATGTCAAGAAGTACGGAAGCGGAAAGAACTTGAACTACAAATACTGACGGAAGCTATCCGTTGTTGGGAGGGAGAGGATATTAAAACACTTGGCAATGTGATTTACATGTCCCAAGTCATGATTCAGTGTGCTGGAAGTGAGGTAACGTCCTTCTCATCTTTACTATCTGTCTGTCTTTCAGTTTTTGAATAAAACTCGTTATAGTCGTTATGCAACAGAAATAAACAGAATGTTTCAGATACGCTAATATAGTTTAAAATTCTTCTCTACTGATTTAAGTCTTTTTATTACAAAGCCTGAAATAAATTTTGTTTAAAAGATGGATGATCTCGTCTGCAAAATTTACTGAAACGTAACAGAGTATAGCAGTTGTAAACATTGGCAGGACTGTTTTTCAAAGTGCATAATTAAACAGGATTTTCCATGTGTAGTTATGTTGTGGGATCATTTTGCATGGCAGTTTTTTATGGTGTGTTTTAAAGAACAAAAACTGTCAAGTTTTGTGTTGTAAGGTATCTGAAGTATGTTTTTTCCTGGCTGATTTGGGGATGTTGCTCAAATAGTAAATTTTGAAATACAATCTTGAGAACCGAGTTGTTTTGGAGAAATAGAAGGAGACGTTAAGAAGTTGAAGATAACACTGCAAGATTTGGGGTGCTTGTTTCTTTAAAAAAAACCCACAAACCAGCCAAACAAAACACACAAAGAAGAAGTTGTCCTACCAGAAAAAAAGTTAAAATAATCTTAAAAGCAAGTGCTAACAGAAAGATGTCATACACGCTACTGAACATTTTTTTTTTTTTTTGCTGTAAGTTGTTTCCGTCTAAAATCAATGAAGCTTTGAACCTGATGGGAGCTTTTGAATTACAACCTCATTCAGTCAGTTTCCTCTCTTAGGATGTCCATAAATATGAAGTAGAAAAGTGTTTATGCAAGTGAATATTTAAAAATTCCTCACCTAACTTTGTTAGGTGTTAAAATAAATAAATAAGGGTCAGCAGAGCCAATAGTGCTACTTCTGCAGTCATGTCTCCTCTTCGTGTCTTCTTAGTCTTAAAAAAACCAAACATACTCTCATCATGAACTAAAATGTCAAATGTAATGGACTTTGAGAAGTTTCTGCAGGGCATTAGAGTTTTGACTAAACACAACAGTTTGATTTGCGCAAAAGCAGTTGGGTTTTGGTGGTTTTTGTGTGTTTTTTTTATTTTTATTTGTTTTTAAATGATACAGACACTTGTAAATACTTACTGAAAAACAGATTAGAAGCATTAAAACTTGGTTAGGACTTGTTCTGTAAAGAGACTTGAAGTTGAGATGATGGCTTTGTCAGTGGATGCATTTGTCATTAAAATGAAAACATCATACCTTAATACTGCTCTCTTTCATTGTTTTGTCTATAGCAGTAGATTGAGTAAACCACCTCCTTCCATAAAAATGCTCCCAAACCAAAAGGACAATTTCATAAGTGAAAAAAATTAAAACCAGAACAAAATAATGAGTGATTTTGTTGCAAATACAAGCATTATTACTTTTCTTTTATATTCTTCTTCTACTTTTGGACATAATCCAATATATTTCAAACAATCTGATCTCTCCGATTTAACAGACTGGTTTTGACGTTACTGTAATAGCATCCCTCTAAATGATAAGAAATATCTCCAATGTGTAATTTGGTTTTCCTTAAAAATACGAAACAGTTAGTATCATATTAAACAAGGTCAGTATTTTACCAAGACTGTAAAATTTCTGTTTTAAAATATTAAGCTGTACTCTCCAGGAGACATATAGTTATGTGTTAGTGGCACTTTTCAGATAGAAAATCAAATAATTCTGACTTTATTTTTTCTCTATTTTTTCTTTTATTTTCTATTTTTAAAAAAATCTATGGAGAACTAATTTTGCCAGGAGCACCTATTTGTGAAGTAATTGAGGATTTGCAACCGTGATGGTGGTTTATAGTAATAGAAAAAGAGGGGGGAGGGGGCTTGTGATGTTGTATTTACTTTTTCATTTTCTTTTTTTGATAAGGAAAAGAATGAAAGGTATCTTCTTCTCTTCCCTAACATTTTGCTAATGTTGTCTGCCAGCCCGAGAATGAGTGGGTTTATCTATCAGGTAAAGTAATACATGTACATATGTTTCTGTATGTGTTGAGGTGTGGGTATGCTTGTTGGATTTGTTGTGTGTGGGGGTTTTTTTACAGTAGATTTGGGAGGATTATTAAACCTCTGCATTTATAAAGATGAAAGGTAATTTCTGCAATAAGAACTGCTCATCTGTTTTAAAAAATTCTGGGCTAGAAGCCCAGGGTTTGATTTTTTGGCAGCTGTGACTATCAGCAGGGGTATTTTTACCTTGTTAGTAGTAAACTTTTTAGATTTACATAGGAGAATGATGCTGTTGTACAGGTTTGTTAGTCCTCTTTGCTGTTCGAGTCTTCCCAAAATTAGGTGGCTCTCTTAAGCTTTCGTTGGTGCGAATTAGGCTGTTAACCATCTTATTCTTGAGGGGCGTCTCCATTAGCATTTTATCTTTGAATTGGCAAAGCAATTTCAATTGAATCTTCTAATTTTTTCCTATTTAATGACCTTTGAGTCACGGTCTAGAAGGCATTTCGGGGCTCAGAGACTCGATTCCCTCTGGATGAAGAGGAACCGGAAGGCACTTTCCAGAAGTGCAGTTGATCTGCTCCAACTCCTGCATCGAGTACCTGGACTCATAGTCAGTCCCTGGTCCCAGCCAGGAGCAACACGACTCAAAAAGCACACAGGACTGCCTTCAGGTCCTCAGCACCACGTGTTTGACCACACAAATCTTCTGCTCCTTGCTTATAGTCACGGTCTGTAAACTCTCTACCAAGTTTCCTAGCCGGAATACTTGTGCCTGTTTCCCCACGACAGAAATAGAGCAACTCGGTGCCAACTGGGTTGGCTCCTCTGTAGCTCTGGGATGTTCTGCAGAAGTGCTTGTGTTTTGAGTGTGTGGTTCCAAAGACCCCTGAGGTGAAGTTAAAGCAATTGCGCAGTCCATGACTTCGTGAAATTATTATAAATATTCCTTGAATATTGCTATGTGGGTTCCAGACATCATAGGAAAACACCAAAAGCAAGGGCAGAGCTACAATGAAATTCTAAAAGGAGGCAGAGCTTTCACCTACTATTCTAAGTACTTCAGTAAATGAGGCTCTCAAGCAGTTTGTTCCTTTCTCCTGAGCAGTGATTCACCTGCTGTGAAGAAATGCTGAAGCTTAGTCATTTGGGTGTTTCTACATGATCAAACACAGCCAGTCACAAACTGTGTGACTTTTTAAAAATTTATTTTATTAAGAGCAATTAAATCCTAAAAATAATCTTTTGGATTTGTATCTTACCTGCCATAGTAGTAGCTCTATTTGTCTGAAACAGTGGTGCATTAGGTGGTTCAAATGGACAATCAAGTTTCTGTTAGCTTTGTGCTGCTCTTAGGAATTCTTGGCCAGTGCTTTACCCCAGCATTGATGGAGAAAGATACTAGGAAAGGCAGGTGAGCTCTGTATTCCAAACAGCACCTCCACAGTTTCTGATGAGGGTAGATCCTTGGCTGCTGGTTATCTAGTCTGTTAACAAACAACATGAAATTAAACAATCCATCAGACTTTATTTTACTCTCGTATTGTACATCACTTACATTTCTTCTTCCTCCATCTTGCCTTGTCCCCCAGGTGAACAGCATTGTTCAGTAAATAAGCAATTTTCTGTGCATTTATTTTTGACTTTATTCAGTACAGCCACAGCCCTTTCTTAGTGTTTGCCATCCTGTGCTCTGTTGAATGTGAATCTCTTAATTTCTTAATAACCTCTCATGATTTTCCCAACACTGAGAACTTCTCCAATTTTAATGATTACTAACTAACAGCAAGGTAGAATTATCACTGCATCTGAGACAGTGGCTCAGAACTGTGTCTAGATTGCAAAACGCAGGCTGCTTGAACTTTTCTTCCCAGGTTCTTGTCTCACAACTGAGGTGCACGTGGACAGAAGATGATGCATCTCCCTCAGTCATTCCCAGGGAAATGGTGCCACAACATCCTGCATTGCACCCTCCCTATGTTACTGAATATTCCAGTTATCAGCAGGCTTCAGATTTTCTGGTCGATGATGCTGATATCTGCCACATGAGCTGATGGGGAGAAATTTTAGCGGTGGTAAACTGAAGTTCCAAGGGGCTCAAACCATAGGAGGGCTTTGTAATTGATTGTTGGAGGAAGACCATTATAAATGATTGACCAGTTCCATTTTCTCTATATTTTGCTGTCTTTGTGCTTTTCCTCTCTATGTGGTTCAGGTGATCTTTGTTCTGTATCTCCAGCGTTTTGCTTATTCCCTTTCCACCAGCCTCAGCAATTCTTGCACCTCTCTTTCGTTGTGGTTGTATGCTGTGTTATTCACGAACCAGCAGACGTGGAAAAACAGAAGACAGGATTTTAGGCTGCATTGCAGTGCACAACACCACCATGTTTCCTTCAGTGGGGAAGCTGTTGTGAGAAAACTCTTCTTTCTCTGTGGCATCTTGGGCTTGAGCATGCTCTGCATACAGCATATCAAGTGATTTTTAGTTTCCAGGCTTGTAAGAAACCTTTGTACATTCTGCAGTCATTAGGAAAGAAAAAAAGAGTTATGGTTATTTTGATTTTTTTTCTTTTCCTTCCCTTTGAGCCAAAATTCCACAGTACCATAGTATTTGTGCTTTTGCCAGCATGTGCTGAATAGTGTTTCTGTGCAGGAGAATGAAGGATCTGTCTTAAAGAACTTTAATAAAAGTTACGTTTTTGCTAAAACCTTTCATCCTGACAATATTCAGTCTTTTCTGTTCTGTGTTTCTAAAGGGTCAAAAAGTTACCCTAAACTGACATTTTTTTCCAGCTTCACTGGGTTTAAAATGAGAGGTTATTTTCTGCAAAATTAATATGTTGTTCTGCAAGTTTAAAAGTGCTTCTACTGCTTTTGTTTTCCCTCCCGATATTTCTGTGAGTGAATTTAGTAGTGAAGTTATTAGAGACATAAATTTTCAGTAAATGATTTATGCATTTATTTAGTGAAATCTTCCTTTCTAAATCTACTTGTACTACGAACCTTATGTTGAGAATTAATCAAACAATTTGTAAACAACTGTGCTTAAAGATGAGTCACCATTGCTTCTGATCATGTAGTATGGATGACCCCGAGGTCTCTGTTTGAGGAGCCTGAGGCTATGATGAGTGACCACTATTACATTTACAAAGATTTCATAGCCTGCGTAGGTGGCACATAGAAGACCCAGGCATCGTTTGCAGAAGTTGGACATATTAAAAACTTGCATTACGAGGTGTTTTTGTGGATTTCAGATTGTTTTTAAACCACTTTGTATGTGTGTATTTGTCAATTTACTGTGTGTGTGTCGTTGCTCAGAGCTTTAAGTTTCTATATCGTCGGTGAAGTTTTTGTGCCTTTGGGATTTAACTTAGATGTTACTGGGTTGGTTTTTTTTGTTTTTTTTTTCTTCTTTTAGGGAAAACTGCCAATGACAGGAATGACTATCACAAAGCTTGAAGACAGTGAAAACCATAAAAATGCATTTGAAATATCAGGTATTGACTAAATATTTTAATTTACTGCTTGCTCCAGGATATGCTATTTCGAACATCAAACATTCTGCCTAAATAGAGGGAAAAACTTTTTCATTGTGAGGGTGACCAGGCACTGGCAAACGTTGCCTGGGGGCATCTCCATCCTTGGAGATACTCAAAAGGTGTCTGGCCACAGACCTGGGCAGTCAGCTCCAGGTGTCTGTGCTTGGGCAGGGGACTCTGCAGAGGTCCCTTCCAGCCTCAGCCATCCTGTTATTAGACCAATTTTGTAAGGCAGCTACCCAGAACATCTTTGGTTAAAAACTGCTTTTTTCTGCTTGTCGTAAACAGTTAACAAACTCTCTTTGCATGGGATTCATCCCCAAATGTCTGTATTTTAATGAATGGAGGCAGTAGACTTGGAGAAGGTCCTTTATAATCAATGAGTTTAAAATATGCTGCTCACTGGAGGGAAAGGAATTTCAGAGACTGGAAGAGCTTTTAAGCAAGAGCTTCTAGAAGTGGTCCACCTCTTTCCTGAAAGACCTGTAGTACCTTTCATGCTCATCGTGGTTGCCTTTGTACTTATTCTGGGTAATTTCTATTAAGTAATTTGTTTCAGCATGTAATATATATATATATATAG